TATATATATATATATATATATATATATATATGAGGGTGCACTGAAATCAACATTGACGTTACACAAGTTCTATCCTTGATATTATAAATATACCATACATTAAAATTTGTTCTCATATATACGTATATATATATATATATATATATATATATATATATATATATATATATATATATATATATATATATGATCATTTTTTTGTCATAAATATATTATATATGTATGTATACGGTGCGATGGATAAATTGTTGACTAAATTACACAAAAACATTTTGAAATACTAAAGAGTAAATTTATTCAATGAAATTGCCATTGGCTTCAACTACGGCCAACAGATGACTCTTCTGGACAGTCTTCTTGTTTAAGTTGGTGAATGCTGCCATAATCCTTGCCTTCAGTTTATCTTTGGTGTTACAAGGAGTTTTGTTGGTCTCTCACTCAACTGTGTCCCACATGCAATAATCAAGGGGGTTGCAGTCTGGGAAGTTAGGTGACCAGTTGTAAAGGGTGATGTGGTTGCAGAAATTGTCTGATAGCCGTGACAGAGTCCTGTTGCGAGTGATAGGATCATTCTGCAGTCACCCTCTTGACCCAGGGCAGGACTAACTCCACAAGGCATTCGATGTAGACCTCCGTGTTGAGTCTGAGGCCCTGTGGGAAAATGAATGGGACATAAAGTCACCATCACAAGTGTTCATTCCAAACAGCATGATGTTGACTGAATATATCATCCAACTCTTTCCGAATCCTCTGCACAGTCCTTAGATTCACACTCAAACACACGGAAATGTTCGTATTGGAGCTTCCGGTGCGAATGCCAAGCAGTACAGCATGCCGTTTCCAAATTTATGTCGAATTGAATTTGGCATTGTGCACTTTTTCTCACAGACGATACCTTACTATACTGCGCAGTCGAGAAAATGAAAAACAAACAACTAAAAAAAAAAATAAAATAGAGACAAATTTCACATCGCCCCTCACCTATATATATATATATATATATATATATATATGACAAATGGAAAAACAAATTTCTTCAAAACGTATTCTATAACCTAATTTAAAACGGATTCTATAACCTAATTTAAACACACACACACACATATATATATATATATATATATATATATATATATATATATATATATATATATATATATAATACCACACGCCGACAATACAACTTGGACTTTCATGCTTTATGTAATCCTGATGATTGCATAGAGCATGAAACTCTGAGTTGTAATGTTAGTGTGAGGTATAATGTATATTTATTAATATATACTTAATAGCTCTGTTATTTAGCATTGGGGACTCTTTTTCTTACACCAAAGTAGTTCAACACAAGCACTTGCATTTATTTATATTTATCCATTTGAATATATTATATATATATATATATATATATATATATATATATATATATATATATATATATATACAAATAAGACAAAGAACAAATGGTGTAATAATCCATAGTTCGTAGCATTTACTTATTAAAAGTGCTCAATACAAAGTAGATCAAAATATTATAATATTTTTATTATAAGAGATTGTAATAAAACATTTTAAGTCGCTACACAAAGGCTTTCATGTTTCAGTACTATGATTGCACTTCCTTGACGATTAATAATAAATTTATTGCTGCCAGATTCTCCACAATCGTCAATGATGCCATGCCAAAATGCCAGATTATCGTGATTTGAAAAAATAACTCACCCACCGACACACTCTACCTTGTTTTTCTATTTAGCGTAGATCTAATTGGTTAATCGAAACATACCCACAAGTATACTTTTAATTCTGACCTTATGCCACCCCGCTAAATTTATGAAAAAAAAGTAACGATTTGTTTTTAAATTTCCCTAATTTTTATCACCAGTTACCAAACATCGCCTGAGGAAGTACAGCGAGTTAAAATGTTTTTTATTCTAATCTCTTATAATAAAAATATTATATTATAATATATATATATATATATATATATATATATATATATATATATATATATATATAATAATAATAATAATAATAATGTTTATAAACTATAAGCAACTATAAAATATACAAAGAAAAACAGTACAGTCGCACAATCATATGGCGGAAAAAGAGGCAATAAGTCAATCTCACAGCTATTAGTATATAATGAAAATAATTCATAATAGTATATATATATATATATATATATATATATATATATATATATATATATATATATATTATACGTAACAATTGTAGATCAGAGTCGAGTCTGTCCGGGGGATGGTTGTATTAAAAAGTGTTCTATACCCAATCCAATAAACTGAACGTGCAGGGCTTTAAATATATATTAAAAGTTAGGAATTACTTACAGGCCTGCTACCATGGTTTCAATCATCAAGGTAGATGCTAATTAAGAATGAGGAAGTAAGGTGGAACACAGCGTGTAAGAGAGAGAAAAAATACCTACTCTTATTCGGGTTTGTATAAACCCCGAATATACTTTCTAGTATGCCTACACCCCAATATGATCTCAGACCTTTCATTTAACTAAATTGTTTGGTTGGGATATTTTACTATTGCTATGTTTTCTTCTTGACTACAGACATCACTGTCATTACGATAAGGCACTTTATCCCATAAATATAGCACACTTTAAAATTATATTCCTTCATATATATATATATATATATATATATAGAGAGAGAGAGAGAGAGAGAGAGAGAGAGAGAGAGAGAGTTTCAATTGAGCTTAGTGGTGTACCGTAATTCACCATGTATAATACGCATTTTTTTCAAAAAATAATAAGTAAAATTAGGGGTGCTTATTATGCACAGCTACAAAAAAAATCTTTAAAAAATTGCCGTTTCATAGGTCGATTTTAGTTGCGAAATGACTACTCACCACAAACAAGACAATTTCACACTAACATTCGGCGATTGGGACCCCGTAAGGATTTCAAATGCAATCATATGTATCTAACATGTGTTGACTTCAATGTTCACATTTAATTATATATATATATATATATATATATATATATATATATATATATATACGATTTCGACGTATGTGGGTCTAACAGTTTATTTTGTTTTTAGAACTGAACGGTCAGACTGCGCACATATATTATTTGATTATAGAAAGGAAATCTTGTGTAGAACCAGTCACAATTCTTTTCGAAAGTACTTCTAGAAGAAAAATAGTTCCCGGTGTTCCATGAGGTTACCAAACAAATTTTCTCGGGTCTGAATTCACAACTTTCCTCCAGCTATACATGTTGCCAACTATGGCTAAAGAACCATAGCCGTAGCCGTAGTTGTAGAGAGAAAGAGATGGATTCATATCTTCCCAAGATTGTTTGCAATGCAACGAACTCAGTCAGATTTCGGACATAGCCCATCGATCTTTCGTTGAGAAACACTAGCCATTATATTATCCGTACATGTGTAATTGTGCACATTGGGTAACGTTATCAACCCGATTCATTATCCATAGTCAGTATGCTAATCTTTGGTCATTAGAATTCTGATTTTTGGGGAAGTGGGTAAGCCGAGAATATTTCAATATATCAACATCTCATCGTATATATCTCACTGCCTTAAGCTTGGCCGTGATTAAGTTATCAAGCGGTATTTTTCATTTTCTTTAAATCGGACAAGGGCAAAGATTCTTTAAATTCTTTAAATAGAAGTGATTAACTTATTATCGTATTATCATCAAATTTTAAGCTAAATAACATTTGTTGGTTCCGAACACTGGTTAACTTTTCTTTCAGTTTGTTTTTGACCTTCTGCTTTTCATCAATTTTGCAGACGAGAGAAAACTAATTCAGTTTGGCAATTAGTATGAAGAATCGATATCTTAGATCTAGTCGGACAAAACAGGTGTTTACCTAGTAGAAATGGTCTGTAAGATTAATTTGCTAAGATTAGTTTACTAAGATTTACTAAACTGAACTGACCTGAAGTGTCTACTATAAATTCAAACTTGTGGAGAAGTCAATGAGAAACCACTTCACTATCTATTCTAAGAATGCATGGTAAGTAACAAATAATAAAAAAGATGAATGTTCAGAGAGTCATGATCACCTACATTATGAAGAATTATTTAAAGCGTATTATTGCTCATAATTTCAACGAATTATGAAAATATAAAACTGTTTAGATTCACATAAAATATCTTCAATATTTTTGAGATCCCAAAACATTTTTAAGCGTTCTTTAACTTCCTTAAGAACCTCGAAGCTAATTTCAGCTGTACTTCTAGAAACCAGCTCTTATTTGCTCTGGTCGAGGTCACTACAGTATTAATCACTCGAGGTGATTCCAAAGGCTAAATGCCGATGGGACTTGAACAGTTTTTGACCCTGGTCCCATATACGCATGGCATTCTTACTTTAAATTTGATTATATGTCATATTTCGTTCACGTTGGCGTCCGGGTTAGCCTGTTAGGTTGGGAGTGAAATAGAAAGAGTGTATTGTTTTATTCTTTCCAAAAGTGGAGGATCTGCCTATAAGATTCGGAAGTCTAGCTTTTACCAGGATTCGAACGTCGAACTCCGACATTACTGAGAATTGTGTTTTTTTCTTATGTGCAGTAGGGTACTGATTCCCTGTACTGAATAACTTACCCTGTGACCAATTTTACGTCCAAAGAAGATGCCGTTTTTAAAACTTGAGTCGCATGCCAACGAGCAACTCTGTGTGACGCAGCTGGCTAAAGATTTGCGCTTTTTAAAGGCCATTGAACACAACAGGACCCTTGAAGCATGATTTAAATATCCGTTTTTACCGGCCTGTCGAAGTGGACAGCTGTTGTTAATTTTATCTTCATCATTTAAATGGAAGTGAAAAATATACTCATTTTTTTTTTTTTTTTGCTTTTCCTTTCTATCCAAAAAAAAAAATGAGCCTGACGATTAAAGATCACAAGAATGTCTTTTTTTTTTATTTTACTTATTGTTAAAACGTCTATTTGCGTCTAACTTGCTGTTGGCTTCCAAAGTAAAGATTAAAC